AGCCGGGAGCCTCTGTCCAGCTCTGGCACTTCTCTGCTCAGCCACCTAGGGGCACCCCTCCGACACCTGCTTCAGTAAACTCTCCTGGGCCCCTGGAACTTCTGTGCGGCGGGGAACAGTCAGCCTTCAGCAGAGAAACATCCATGACGTGGCCTGGGGTGTCCAGGACGCGCCCACCCCAGCACGACTGGCCCCAGGAGGCCGCTGTGGGACGCCGCACAGGCACACCAAGAAGACAGCAGCAGGAGCCACTTCTACGGGGCTCCCTGGGCTCCGCCTTCCTTTGAGCGTCACAGCCACCCTAGAAAATAGGCACCATCACGCCCACCCTTCCATGGGTGGGGAAACTGAGGCCCAGAGAGGTCAAGAAATGTTCCCCAGGTCACCAAGCATCCAGCTGGCACGGGTTAAAACAACCCCCAAGGCATAGCTGCCCATGACATCCGCTTGCTCTAAACACATGCACACACTTAGTCCAGGAGGGAGCCCCAAGGAGGGAGGGTTCTCCGGCATGAGTCAGTGGGGGTCACCTGCTTCTCTCCCCACCCCCCAAAGTCACCACCGAGCCACGGTGAGCCCGCCAAGCTTTGGGCAAAGTCCATATCTTAGATTTTCTACCGTCCCTTCGAAGTACCCAGAAGGACTCCTGTTTTCAGGTCTCCCCCAAGGGCCATCCTGAAGCGGCCAGGTCAGTCCTTCCGTGTGTTTCTCAAGGAGGCCATGGAGGAGGGCCGGCGTTACCATGCCAGCCTGCAGGGAGAAACCTGAGGCTCAAAAGCTAAGGTCCACAGGATTTCCTGAAAGCCTGACTCCCTGCTCCCCTTTCCCTGGAAAGATGGAAAACTCACTCCTTGGAGGTGGGTGCAGGTATGGAGGGGAGCGGCGGGGCGGGCGGACCTCGGCTTCCTGGAGTCCTTCAGTGACGCGGAGACAGAGGGCGGCTCAGGGGACTGATGACAAGTCAGAGTTGACTGCGACCGTCAGCAGCCAGCCCAGATTTTGTACTCTCTGAAATATGCCTGGTTAAAAGGCACATAAAAGCAGTGTTCTCCCAGCACACTGGGTTCTTTATAGGACAGAACCGAAAAGAAGGGTGGGGGCGGGGGGGGGGACAGTGTGAGCTGCTGCTGTCTGGCTCCCGTCTTCCCGGAAGGTTCCAGGGAATAGCCCCATGTCCACATGAACCTCAAGGAAAGGAGCCTCAGGGTATGCCCTGGCTACCCCACCTTGCCATGGGTATGTTCTTTTCTCCTCTACGTGCCAAAGAGATATTTGACATCAAGCTACAAGGCAGTTTCTGGGCTTTCTGGATGTTTTCTGGACATTTTAAAACTCAAGGTTCTGGGGAGGGCAAGGAAGTTGGCGGCCTTAACTCTCAATGTTTTCTCTTATGTAACCAACCTAGTCAACAATTTGGAACTTCGAGAAAGTTCTCCAGGGCTCTCAAACTCAATAAAATGATGCTTGGGAAGACAAATAGACTAGCGATTCCTCGAGGGCCGGGTGAGCCTGAAACTCAAGAGCACACAGAGCCCTGTGATGCTGAATGGATGAAAAAAGAGTGCCACAGAGCAGGTAGATGCCAGCTGCACCCCCCTGCTGGGGACGAGGCGGCAGAAGACCCAGAATTCCTGCGTTGCATGGAGCCCAGAACCCTCGGAGGGTCCGAAAGAGGGTCTGGGATGCGGCGGCAGGAAGCAGAAAGAGTCAGGGGTCACTGTTGCTCACCCTCTTCTCTGCAACACCCCTGGGAAATCTACCGGTCGGTGCGCAGTGGAGCTCTGGCAGTGGGAACGATTGGCTTGGTGACTAAGGGGACGCATGTAATAACCAGAAGCCCAAAGGACAAGCATGAGCCGCCCGGATGGCCCGGGAGAGAGTTTGTTGAAAGCCCACAAATGGGGCCAGGATGTCCACCCTGGAGCGCTGGGCTCCACGGGCCCCCGGCGTCCCCCGCCCCGCTGCACACCTGCCCTCCACAAGCTGAGCCAGCCCAGCAGGAGGCCCCACGAGTGTTTGGGGAATTAACCTCAGGCCCTGCGACAAAGACTGCCACCCAGCCTGCTCCTCTGTCTTCAAATGTAAAGAGAAAGGGCCAAGGAGAGGGCAGGCCCAGGACCAGACTGGGCCTGGGAGGCAGGCAGCCCGAAGTGCATCCAGGGGTCCAGGTCCCTGACACCGAGGGCCAAGGAGATGCCCCGAGAATGGCATTTGTGGGAGTTGTCAACAGACACCGAGTGGTGTCCCCACAGGCCGGGCACTGCTGCCGACTCTCTCACATGAACTAACTCCATTCACATTCCACGTCCTCACGACACAGTGTGCTATTCTCACTTGATCGGGGAAGCCCTCAGTTGCCTGCGTACACTTCCCATTCTGGGAGGTCCCCAGTCAGCCCTCCGTGTGGTCAGGGGAGACAACGGAGGCTTTCAAGTCCATCTCTCCGGGTTCAAAGCCTGGCTCCCCCACTTTGAGCTATGTGGCTGGAGGCAAGTCCCTTCCACTCTCTGGCCTCGGCTTCCTCAGCCATTCCGTGGAGCCAGAGCAGCGGGGGCAGAGCTCTGGCGAGGAGAAAAGGGGAAGAGGGGACACAGCAGCTGATCTGGAGAGAGATGCCCTGCCCCCTGCAACCCCCACCTAAATCCTGGATGCCCGGTTGTCACCTGGGCTGCCTTTGGGAGACACAGGGCCTTGGATGGGATGCCCTGGAGCTGGGTCCTCTGGAAGGAGCACAGCTTCGGGACGTCGGAAAAACACAGTGGGTTTCCTTCCCCACCCAACAGGGAGGTGAGCTTCGGCCAGGAGGTTCCAGTGCACCCAGGGCCCCCAGCGCTGTTCACATGTGCGGTCCCACCTGGAGGGGACAGCCTGAACCCAGGCAGCCACCACTCGGCAGACAGGCGGTGCCCTTTCTCTCTAGGCTGATTTGTTTGTCACTCAAGAATACCTGGCTTACCCTAAAAATAAGTCAATAAACAAAAAATCACCCCCATGCTGTCTGGAACGTTTTCTCACCAGAAACTCACTCTTGATCCAATTTATCACCCCTCTGATAGCCTAGCACCTTTGACCACCTTCATTCCCCCCGGAGGCCCCAGCAGAGGGGTCTGGGCAGGTGAGTTCCAGTTCTGCCGGGGCCTTGGCAGGTGCTCTCCTGTCTCTGGGTCTCAGTTCCAAAATGTAAAGTGGGCAGGTGGACCAGGAACCTGAGTAATCACCAGGTAAGGAGCAACACTATCCACTCAGTATATGTATTTGAACTCCTCCCAAGTGCCAGGCCCTGGGCCAGGTGCCAGGTTTCAGGGCGAGGCCAGTATAGCCTTCCTCCTCGCCCTTCTGAAGCTCATCCTCGAGCAGGAGATGGGGCACCACAAAGCTAAGTTGCGGGTCAGGGGACACCCCAGGTTTCGCTCCTTACACCGAAGCACTGCTCCTCTGCAGGGGTCTTGCGCTTCCTGACCTCCCCCTACCAGGACCCCCGCCCTGTGCCACCCGGGACTGGGCTGTGGGCCTTCCCTACATTTCCACCTTGGCTAGCAAGCCCCTGGAAGGCAGATCCTGGGGCTGGCTCTCTCTGTACCTTGCTGATTTCAATTCCCTTTTGGGAAACTTAGGAAAGACTCCAAAATTTCTATACAGGAGGAGGCTGGGCTGGGAGGCTTGCCTTAAAACTGGATATTCATAGCCAGAACAAGGTTGTATTTAGATATTTTGTTCATTTGAGGTGGCTTAGGAAAAGCTTCAGTATGGCTGTTGGATACTGTGAGACTTAAGTCCTCTTATGTGGCTGTTCACTGAGTTCTCCAAATCGTCAGTCTTTCTCAGTTCCTTAAAGCTACCAAACAACCAGGACATCTGTGAAGCAGAGCTTTTCTCCAGCACAAGATAACCTGGGGTCCCCATCAGCTCCCCGCCCATCCCCACCCGCTGCCAGGCACCTCCCCCTTCGAAGCCACAGCCAGGTGCTGCCCCTGACCGGCAGGGGTGTCTGACCACAGAGGCAGAGACAAACCAGCCTCTGCCACTAACTTGACAGCGGGGGACAGCGCCTTTCCCCCTGACCTCACCACGTAGCGCACGCCCTGCCCAAGGCTGAATCAGAGACCGCGGCGGATCTCCCCGGACTGCCGGAGCAATTCCAGCTGTTCTCTTCCCTGGAGAGCAGGACAGGCGGGTGGGGCGTCAGGGGCGAGAAGGAAAGCTGGGGAGGGTGGGCGGAGGCGAAAATGACGCCACTCCTAGCCCCAGCCAGCCCAGGGCCACCAGAGGCCCTCACAATGCGCGCCACCACAGCGCCAACCCCGGGCCACATCTGGGGGCGCACCCTGCCCGGCGGCGCTCGCACACACTCGCTCCTGAGCTACCATCTGTGACACATGGTTCGGTCCGATGGCTCGGACCGAACCCCGCCCCCCCAACACACCACCCCGGCTTCGAGGCTCAGTCGGCCCCCGCCCCTCAGATGCACATCCTTTCTGGCTCAGTTTGGGAACCAGACACACCCACGCCGCCTCTCCAGCCTCATCTCCTGCTTCTACCCATCTCCTTTCTACACAAGCTCGCGCACAATCCCTCCTTCCCCAGACACCCTACTCCAGCGATACAGCCCCCCACACCCACGCACACGCCTAGGCCCTCCCTGCTCCCACTTCCAGTGCGATCCTCGGCCCGAGCCGCCAGCAGCGACTCTGGGAGAACGTTGGGAAGCGGGATCCAGGTGTTCCCCAGCCGGCTCTTCACCGCCTCCACGACCCCCAGGACCCCACCTCCCCGGCTACAGGATAGAAGCGCGGGTACCCATCTTTCTTTTCCCTCCTCTTCCCTAATCAAAAGCACCCACTCCAGAGGTGCCCGCGCCCTAAAACCCTCCAAACGCCTGCGTTACGGGGTCGCCGCGCACTCCCAGCTCCGGAGGATCACAAAGCGCGGTCCAGGAGTTTCAGCAGCACCCGTGGGCGACCGAACCCCTCTGCCCCGCAACAGCAGGGCATGGGGCTTACCTAGGGTAAATGGAGAAAGGCAACAGGAGCTGGAGCTAGGCTGGCGGTGCCTGGCGTGAATGGAGAGCGGCGAGGATGGGCGTGCGCACCGTAGACTAAGGCGAGAGTCCGGTGAGGTTTGTTTATGTCCGGGAGGAGGGCGACTTTATACGCACCGCGGCCCCGCCCCCGCGCCTCGCCCGGCCCCGCCCCTCCCCGGCCCTGTAGACTGCGGGGACACACCCCTTGCCGGCGCTCTCCTAGCTGTCGCTCCTCCCGCTCCCGCCCGCGCGCCTAGCTCAGCTCTGGCAGTGTTCGGCCACCGCCCGCCGAGCCATCGCCTGTTGCGCAAGCCCATGTAGGGGCGCGGCCGGGAGGGACCTCTCGACTCGGGCTGCGGTTCAACTCTGCTGTCCCCGCGTTGTCCGGGGGGCCGTGCGCAGTGGGTTCACGTGCGCGGGGAATACGTTTGTGTGCTTGTGCGTGTACGTGAGCGCGCTCATGCCTGTGCCTGTGGACTTCCACGTGTCCCTGTGTGACCGAGTGGCTCCCATCTTGGTCTCAGAATTTCTACTTCCGAGTCCCGTCGCGCCATGCGTTGACATCCCTTTGGGGGCGATTGGCTCCCCAACTTCTTCCAGGTCTAGCCCCCAAGCCCCGTTTAGCTTCTTTCAGGCACGAGACCTCCAGTGCTCTCCCTCGACCAGCCCCCTGCGATTCTCACTCCATGCCCTCTCCTTGTTGCATCAGCCCTCCGCTGAAATAATTCATTCTGTTTAATCTCATCCATCTTGCCCACCCCATCTTAACGCCCAAGCGATCCCCTCCCCTCCATCTCCCCAGTTCTAAACCCACCTGCCCTTTTGGGCCTTGTGCCCCCCCCCCCTCCAGGCCCTCCTGTCCTTCTGGCCTTCCCCAGGAGCCTGGCTGGGAAGCATCTCACTCCTTCCTCTCCTGCTTCCTGGAACTTACACTGAGCACCCTTTCCTCCCTTAGCCGTTCTCTGCTGTGTTGTTTCTGTTTAACAACTGTCTGTGTGTTCTCAGCCTGCACTGCATATTAGAATCCCCTACGGAACTTTCTTTAAAACAGGGAGCGCCAGGGAGCGCCAGGGCTCATTTAATCAGAACCTCAGGGATTGCAGCTCAGGCCTTAGGGAGTTTTAAAGGCTTCCCAGGAGAGTCCAGTGGGCAGCCCTGGTGAGAGACACTGCACCGGAGGAACAGCATTGCACAGTGAAGGAAGGTCACCATCCCCAGCCTAGACATTGTCATTGTCCTCAGACCCTCTGTCCACCCTTGTGGTTGCAGGTTCCTTGTGGTTGCCACGCCCCCACTCTGCCTCTTCTGGCTGATTAGGACTCTCTTCCTGCTTTGCTCAAGGCGGGGCACTCGGCTGTCCTCTGGACATCCCACCTGCCTCCTTAGGCCCTGGTATCTACTTATCCTGTCATTCCGCAAATATTTACTGAGCTGCTGCTGAGCAGGTTCTGCACTCAGCCACTGGGAAGGGACTTCAAAGGCAAAGTCCTTTCCTTGGGGCATAGCCAAGAGCTGTAAGTCTCCATCCCCCAGTTACACAAGAAGCGTGAGCTGAGCTACTCCCTTTGGTAACGGGACCGAGGACCTACTGTGTCCAGGCACCATGCTGGACATTCGGATACGGCAACGATGGAAATGGTGCCTCCTCCACAGCCACCCAGTTGTCTGAAGACCCTTTCATATCTAGCATTCCGTACAGCAGCTTTCTTGAACCCCTCCCATACTTCCCTTCCCCTTACCTCCACTGTTTTGGCTTTCAACAAACATTTATGGAGCACCTATGGTTTGCTACCTGCCAAAGACACAGAGTTAAATTCAAAAGCGTAGAGAAGCCTGCCTACTCCTTCGGTGACAAATGCAGACCCCAGTGTGTGGGCTGGAGAAGGGCCCTCAGCCTGGCCAGCTCCTCACCTGCCTGCCCCTTTGGGGAAGTCTTCGGGGCAGAGTGCAACTCTGCCTGCAGCCAGCGGCCCCCAGCTGCCCAAAGGGAGGCTGGATTTGTGCTTGGGAGCCTCAGATTTCTAGAAGACAGTGGGTAGAGAACAAATGCAGGGAGGGAGGAGGAAGATGGCCCCAGGAACACAGGGAAGAGAAATGAAGAGTTTGGACAGTGAAGAAGTTTCTCAGTACAGCAGTGTTCTAAAACCAGGGTGAAAAGAGACCCTTGTGGAGTCCACATCAGCTTGGAAAAACTCTCCAGAGGTGCCCCTTGACCCCACACTCCCGCTCCCATAGGCCCAGCTGAGCCAGTTTCTTCTTCCTGTTGCCGGGGGTTGCTGCTGCTCTCACAGAGCGCTGGGTGCAGCTGATTTTGTGTACGTAGCCAAGGTGGTCACGCTCTAAAAAAGGCTGACTTTGGTGCGCCCTGGGCACACACACATGTGGAGGATGCTCAGTCTGTGGAGTGGCCCCCCGGGAAATGAGAGGTGCCCACGTTGCCACGTGCCCCAACCCTGGTCCGCTGAAGCAGCAGTAGCTCTTGGAGCCAAATGCAGTCACAGTTGTATCGAGCTCTTTGAACGACTTCTTTTTCTCGCCGGTCAGCAATGGAATTGGATTGCTTAGTACATGCTCATGGGCTGCAAATCCACCACAGGATGAGACCGGATTTTTCTGGATTAATGTCCCCGGGGGATTTCTATTTAGCAACCCCTTAAATTTTATCGTGGAAGGTTCGAACTGCAAGGACCATAGCGACCCTCTATTCCCAACCCCCTTCCCTGGAATGTGTGAGTACTGGGGGTTGAGAGAGACACAAGAGGCAGCTTCAGGTCGTGGGGAAGCCCCCCCCCATTTCAGCCCGTAGGAGCTGTGTGTCCTTTGGTCAGCTGCCCTTCCTCTCTCTATTGTTTCTCCTCCTGTTGAGATAAGAAAGTTGGTTCCTGAAAAGCCAGCATCTCCCAGCTCCGGTTCTGGGCTCCCTCTCGACCCCCTTGCTCCTCCAGCGTCCATGTGTCCCCCTCTTCTGAATGATGTTCACATGCTCCACAGTCAAGGACCCACCAGACCAATCCTGTCTGCATCCTGAGTCTCCCACCAGTTACTGTAGCGCCTCTCAGCCTGCAGTCCCCAAACTTCTCTCAACAGCTGCTGCACGTGCTCTCCACTTCCTTATCTCCGCTTACTTTCACTTTCCACTGCTTAATTTATCAAGTTCCCGGTGGACCTGGCCAAATAATTCGACAAAACTTGTTAGGAAAAACAATAGCCTTTGTACCATCATCTTCCCCTGCCCCCTCCCCCTGCTTTCCTTGAGTCCCCTCCCCATCCTATCATCGTTGTCCTCGTCACTGTCTGCCCTGGCGTCTGGCGCAGTATCCGCCGCATACACACAATCAAGCAAATACTGATTGAACACGTGAGCAAATGCAAGTTCCTCTTTGACCTGTCCCCACCTTCTGCAGCCTCGCTTGGATTTGGTTGGGGGCAGGGCGAAGGACTTCCCACTCTGGACCTGTGGAAGGTGTCTCCATCCTCCGGGCGCATGCCTGACCTACAATATCCAGTTGTGAGTACTGGGAAAAACCCGATGCCATTGGATATTAGCCTAAGTCCAAGCCATGGAAAGAATCCTTACTGTGAGCCTGTGGGAGAGCTGTGCACCTTTTGGCCCATAGAAAGTCAGTTTCTCTTGGTTCCTGCTGTGCAGTAGTTTGCCAGGGCTGCCAAAACACATTACCACAAACCAAGGGGCTCAAACCACAGAAGTGTGTTGTGTCACGGTGCTGCAGGCCAGAAGTCCACCATCAGCGGGCGGGCAGGGCCGTGCTGACCCTGAAGACTCCGGGAAGACTCCTTCCTCACCCCTTCCAAGCTTCTGGTGGTTATTGGCGATTCTCGACACTGCTGGGCTTGTGGCCGCATCCCTCCAGTCTCTGCCTGGGTCATCACATGGCTTCTTTTGTGTCTCTGCCTCAGTGTTCCTCCACAAGCCACGTTGGATTAAGGGGCCACCCGAATCCAGTATGACCTCACCTTAACGAATTACATCTGTGAAGAACCTGTCTCCAAATAGGATCACGTTCTGAGGTTCTGGGTGGAAAGGAATTTGGGAAGGACAAGATTCACCCCAGTCCGTGGTTCATGCGTATTTATCACATGTTTGCAGCTTGTTGACGGAGACCTGCTTACTGACCCGCTCCAGCCACCCCGACGATGACAGCTCTCTTGCCTGGCTTCCCAGCAGCTGCCCCATCTTGTCATCTGCCCTCTCTAGTTCGCTCCATCCCGAGCTTGGCTGTCGTCTCGGACCACCTCAGTCACGGTCCTGCCTAACTAAACCTGCCTTGGCTCCTGTCACCTGCCTAGTTCAGCAGCCCCTCTGGGCATGGCGATAGAGATGGCTCTGCGCATGTCCAGACTTTTGTCTCCTCCAGTCCCCGGTTACTCATCGCCCTTCCTTGACTATGCCGCTCACGCCCTCCTCTTAATCTCTGACCGAGCAAGTTTCTCCTCCTAGGAAGTCCTCCCACACCCTCTTCACCTACGGAGATTTCACTCATCAGGGGATAGCACCAGGGGTGCTCGCCATCCGCTCCAGCCCCTCACTTCCTCCCTGCAGTTAGGCATGTCCGTGGACTTGCTCTGTCAATGAATGGGGTGTGGAAATAATCTGTGTCACTTCCAGAGGGAATTTAAATAGCCAGCCTGTGATTCACCCCGGTCTCCTCACTCCCGCTACCGCCACCAGCCACGCTGGGATGGTGGGGGCTCCATCCCCTGGGGCTTGGAGGGACGAAGCATGAGCAGAGTCCCCAGCTGATCCCAGACAGACCTGTGACTTGGGGAAGCAATAAACCTGCAGCCACCAGGACTCTGAGGGGCTTTGTGGCCGCAGCCTGACCCAGCCCATCCTGACTGAGTCACTGTCCTCTGAGGCCAGATGTCAACCGCTCCAGGAAACCCCCCTCGTTCTCTTCCAACTGCATTCATTTTGTTTCATTCAGTGCACAGTTGTCCAGCATTTACCATCCACCAAGCACTGTGTGAGGTGCTAGGAATAGAAAACAGCACAGCTCTGTAGTTACAATCGCTGTGAGTGTGAAGTACAAAGGCAGGGTCTTGGGGAGCGATATGGCCCCGGAGCACCTGGAAAAGGCTTCCTGAGAAGGGA